AAGATGAAGACACAAAGCAACAAGAGGAATCGAGACAAATATTGCAAGTTCCACAAGGACCACGTCCACGATACAGAGAACTGTGTCGACCTACGCAACCATATCGAAGATCTAATCAGGCACGGTTATCTCAACGACTTCATAGACAGAGCGGAGAAGTCGACCCAAGAGGAAAAAAGAGTAGATGAAACTCGACAGCCTCTGTTCCGTGGCCACCCAGCCGGTGTTATCTATGTGATATCGGGTGGAAGCGCCTCTGGAGGGGAAAGCAGCTCGGGATGAAAGAGATATGCTCGGCTGTATGAGATAGACAACTGATGCCGCGGGAGGAGGCACAACACGTCTATTACCTTCACTAACGACGACCTTCGAGGAGTCCAGACACTGCACGACGACGCCTTGGTCATAATCACTAAAGTGGCCAATTTCAAGCTACGGCGGATCCTAATTGACACAGACAGCTCCACCAACATGTTGTTTAAAGATGCGTTCGAAAAGCTTGGCATCGACAAAAATTGACTTGCACCAGTTAACACTCCTTTTATGGGATTTTCTATAAAGTCCCTCCATCCAACGGGGAGGATAACTCTTCCCCTCTTGATCGGGGATGGCGACGTAACTTCGACGGCCATGGTAGATTCCACCGTGATACGCTGCCCCTTCTCTTACAACGTGATCCTCGGTAGGCCAACCCTTAACGCCCTATAGGAAGTAGTTTCAACGTACCACATCGCCATGAAATTTTCAACCAAGTATGGCATAGGGGTGGCGCGCGGGGATCAGAAAACATCATGACATTGGTACCAGTTATCCTGTTGAGGACCACGTACAGTGACCGAGACATTGATGACAGAAGCATATGACTTGCGTGATGAGGTAAAGGCACAGTGCAACCAACCTGTGGAAGACCTCATCCAGGTCCCCTTGGTTGAGGATGACCCCGAAAAGATGGTCTAAGTTGGTTCCCTGCTAGGCAACCATCTTTGAGAGGATCTTGTTCGATTACTGATGAACAATGCCAACGTGTTCGCTTGGTTGACGGAACGTGTTCGCTTGGTCGACGGAGGACATGCTTGGAATCGATCTCGAATTTATCACACATCAGTTGAACGTCGACCCTCATTACCGACCTGTGAAGCAGAAGAAGAGAAACTTTGCTTCAGGCAGGTGGCAAATAATCGCCGAGGAAGTATAGAAGTTGCTCGACGCCAGATTCATTAGGAAAGTCAAATACCCTGAGTGGCTGGCCAATGTGGTAATGATGAAGGAGGCCAATGGAAAGTGGAGGATTTGCATCAACTTCATTGACCTAAATAAGGTTTGTTCCAAAGACATCTTTCCCCTTCCCCGGATCGACCAACTCGTCAACGCAATAGCAGGGCATGAGATCCTAAGCTTCATGGATGCCTTCTCAGGCTACAACCAGATCCGAATGGACCCAGACAACCAAGAGCGAATGGCCTTCATCATTGACTGAGGCCAGTACTACTATAAGGTAATGCCCTTTGGCCACAAAAACGCCAGCGCTACCTATCAGCTGCTGGTGAACGAGGTATTCAAGGAGCAACTCGATAGAAATGTGGAGGCGTATGTCAACGATATGCTCATAAAAAGCAAAAAGGTCAAGCACCACCTAGCCGACCTCTGTGAAGTCTTCGACACACTTAGAAAGTACAAGATGAAGTTGAATYCGACCAAGTGCGTCTTCAGGGTTGGCTCCAGAAAGTTTTTGGGATCCATGGTGACACAGAGAGGAATCAAAGCAAACCCAAAGAAGATAAAAGCCATCCTTGACAAGACATCCCCCCAGACCCACAAAGAAGTACAGCGGCTCACTAGGAGAATAATCGCCCTCGGTAGGTTTATATCCAAATCTGCAGACCGGTGCGTCCCCATTTTCAAAGCGCTTAAATGGCCAAAGGACTTCCAATGGACAGAGATATGTGAGCTGCCTTTCTATGAACTAAAGCAATATCTGAGCTTGTCGCCCCTCCTGACTAAGTCGAGCCCAGGGGACGAACTATTGCTCTACCTCTCGACCGGGGACGAGGTCGTTAGCTCGGTGTTAGTTAAAGAAGAAGACCGAGTATAGAAGCCAATCTATTACACCAGTAAGGTCTTCAATGGCGCAGAAACCCGGTACTCCAATCTCAAAAAGTTGGCTTTAGCTCTCATCACCGCAGCCAGGAAATTCATACCCTACTTTTAGGCCCACAGCGTCCGAGTACTCACTAGCCAACCTCTCAAGCAAGTGCTACAGAGACCGAAAGTGTCGGGCCGCCTAGTCAAATGGAGCGTAGAACTGAGTGAGTTCGAAGTCACGTACACCCCCCGACCGACAATTAAAGCCCAAGCCTTGGCAGACTTCATCGCGGAATGTACGTTTGTCGAGGAGGAACCGGCCCCATTGCCCCCAGCATGGACGTTCCACATTGATGGCTTATCGAACAAGCAAGCTAGCGGCGCCGGCCTTATCCCCCTCGACCTAGACGACGTGGTATTAGAACACACCCTTAGATTTGAGTTCAGGGCATCTAACAATGAGTCCGAGTATGAGGCCTTGATTGGGCTCCACCTTGCCTTAGACCTCGATGCACAACGGGTCGAGGCCTTCAACAACTCTTAGCTCGTAGTCAACCAAATTCATGGCCAGTTCGAAGTTTGGACTCCCTCTATAGCAAGCTACTTACAGAAGGTATAGGAGCTCATTCAGCAGTTTGAGCACTTCGACATCCAGTAGATCCCTCCGGCCGAGAACGCTCAAACCAATGCCCTTTCAAAGCTTGCCAGCTCATCGCAATCCAACCTTGATTCAATCGTCCGATTAAACACGCTGGTCTAGCTGAGCATTGTGCCATTAGCCGTCRTCATCCTTCCAATGCAACATGGCTCATCCTAGATGGACCCCATAATCGAGTATCTTCGAGAGGGCACCTCCCTGAAAGATTAGACAGAAGCGAGAAAACTCCAACATAGAGCAACCAGGTATTGTCTAATACAGGGCCAGTTGTACCGCCATTCCCACACGCCTCCCTATTTAAAGTGCCTCTCCCTAGTCGAGGCAGACTACGTCCTTAGGGAAAAACATGAGGGCATCTGCAGAGATCACCTCAGCGTACACACACTGGCCCATACGGCGCTCCGACAGGGGTAGTTCTGGCTGACGATGAAGCAGGAAGCCGCCCAGCTAGTTCGGCGGTGTGATAGTTGCCAACATCACTCTAACCTACATCACTAGTTTGCAGTCCCTTTGAGACCGATCGCCAACCCATGGCCATTTGCCCATGGGAAATGGACATCCTTGGCCTCTTCCCCACCGCGGTTTTACAGAATAAGTTCCTCCTCATAGTCGTGGACTACTTCACGAACTGGGTAGAAGATGAAGCCCTATCGCGCATCACCGCCTACAATGCCCAGAACTTCCTTTGGCAGGGAATCATCTGCCACTTTGGCATCCCGCGCGTGCTCATCATATACAATAGAACCTAGTTCATTGAAAAGAAATTCAAGGTCTTATGTGTTGACCTAAGGATCAATCACCAAACTACTACGGTACACCAACCTTAAAGCAATGGGCACACCAAGGTAACTAACCGCATCCTACTACATGGCCTGAAAACACGCCTGGATCAAGCCAAGGGAAGATGGGTTGAAGAGCTGCCAAGCATTCTCTAGGCTTACAGGACGACCCCATGGACTGCCACTAGAGAGACCCCTTTCAGTTTAGCGTACGGGGCCGAAGCCATCATCCCCGTGGAGATAGGATCCCCAACTCTTTGGACCAAGCTCTTTGATGAAAGACAGAATGATGAAGATCTACGTGCAGAGTTAGACCTGGTAGAAGAAGCTCGGGACCGAGCACATGTGAAGATGGTGGCACAACAGCAGAAGATGACACAGCATTACAACTCTAAGGTGAGAAGACGCGAATTCAAGACAGGCGACGTTGTTTTGCATAAAGTCATCATACCCATGCTAGGAGAAGGGAAGCTCGAACCAAACTGGGAAGGACCGTATAGGGTTACCAGGGTCCTTGGACTGAGCACTTATAGACTTCAAGACCTCGAAGGCCAACCAGTTCCGAGGAGTTGGAACTCGGAAAACCTCAAGATGTACTACCAATAGACCCATAAGYAATGCAAGTCTTCTTTTACATTACTTCTTCAATCCAGAGGCATGCCCACGGCCAACCTCACACACTACATACACATGCTAAGTCACACAACTAGCCGAGCTGACTCCGCCAATCCCCGAGACGGATGAGCCTATTACTCCCAGCTCGGCAGTGCATTACCAAGCAAACTACCCGACTCAACTTCCAAGAGCCTAAACGTAGAGGAAGAACGCCCCTGCCCATCAAGGCCTGAGGACAGTCTAGGAACTCTGCACTACCGTCAACTTAACAGCTGAGCTAGCTAAGAAACAACTAGCCCTAGAAGGGCCCCAAAGGCTCCCGAGACCAAAAGCTGAGCATTCCACGGCTGAGAGCTCGAAAACCGAAAGATCTTAAACAACGACACCAAGGCATAGCCCGACCAACCCGCACCTCGGCCAACACAGGACTGGGGACGTTGAGGCATAGCCCGGATGGTTGCACCTCGGTCAACAACAACCTCGGTCATGGTTCGGGAACCAAAAGATCTCGGACAACGACACCGAAGTATAGCCTGACTAACGACAACCTCGATCAGCACAAGACTGGGGACGCCAAGGCGTAGCCCAGACTGCTACTCTTCCATCGGACATACTTCAATCGAAGAACAGCCCGACTCGGACCACACAGTAGCCCAACCGACCTCACCCAGGCCAACAATAGAAAAATGGTACAAGAGGCCACGACGTAGCTCGGCTTGGAACGCATAATAGCCCAACTAGGCATGTTACATATGAAAAAAAAGAGGCACATGCACAAATATAGCAGCAACGAGAAGAGGCATAGGAAGAAGAGTTGTCATTTAACTTGAAAACAATCCATTACATTTGTTTAAAAGCCCGGCAAACCAAGCCAACTAAAAARGAGAGAAGCAACACAACACCAAAACAAGAATAATGGACATTTAAGGCTGACGATTAGTCATCGGCAGTAGAATCAACAGTGTCAACGGTGTTTTCAGCCTCATCCTCAGCTCCCTCAACAAATTCTTGCGAAGAAGTTTGGTCGAAAGTGTCCCAGCCTTGTGATTCCTCGGCCAACTCCAGGCAACGACGAAGACCCGACCACAATGGAGGCCTCAGCATACTCATCCATATACAACTGCATCTCCTTACTCAGTGATGGCTTCCTCAGTAGCCTCCTGCCTTAGCCTGCCTCGTTCAGCCTTCAACTCGGCGATCTCTCGCTTCAACTCTTGGACAAGACCATCCTGCTCAGCCAGTTGCACCTTCAGCTCAGCCACTTCCCTCTCCAGTGTAACCGATTATTCCCCAACAGCCTGGAGCTCGGCCAATTGGGCCTTTTTCCATAGGTACTCTGAATGTTCCCGCTCGTACGTCGATCGAACGTCCCAAAGACAATCAACTAGAGCAACCGCCGTGCAAGCATTCTGTAAACAAAAATAATGTGATAAGTACATCGGAAGGGAAAGCAACGCACAAGGAACAAAAGGAAGAGGATTTACCTTGGCGGCAAACAAAAGCAGAACACACTCCAATGCTCCACTACCAACCCCGACCGACTCCCGAGCTATAGACATGGTCATATTCCCTCACAACAACTACTCGAGAACCCTGGGAGTCTCTAGATTGTCGTCCATACGAACCAACCACCTCGACACATGTAGACTTGAACTGTTACCTACCTTGGTCACCGATGTACCTGTAGGACAACTGACCCCTTGAGGTCAACCACAACAATGTCATCCTCCTTGGCCTCTCGTTGTTGAACCCTTCTTCGTTGATAGGCCACCCCATCTTCGAGTTGTAGCCGCTCATCTGCCTCGGGGCAAGCCATCGATGGCACACCGACTCATTCCTACCTTTGTCGAAGAGCCCTCATCCGATGAACAAAGTTCCTCGCTGACCATGTTCGCACCTGTAACACAGGAAGTCCAAGATAAGTACGAAGTTGGCAAGATAAAATCAGATTGGCAAGCAAAAGTGAAAGGAAACAGACCGGCCACCCCCTCCATCAACCCAACGAGCATCAACATCTCTGAGCATGTGTACGCTATAACGTCGATTTCATGGATCATGCTCAAGGCCGACCTCTCCTCCCAAGTATGCGTTGACCATTGGGGCTACGGTAAAGACGTCCTCGGTCTCCGTAGCCCAGTAGGAAATGGGAGACCCCCAGGGATTCGCACGAAGAAGAAAGATTCCTTCCGGTGCTTTACTGAAGAAGGGGCTCTGACCAATGACCGAATGTTTCACCGAGTGGAGAAATAGTAGTACCCCCTACTGGTGGTGTTTCAGCTGGAGCATAAAACTCCCCATCCCCAGGGTCAGATCAATGTTGCACACCACAAAATAAGACATGAGGTCGAGCAAAAATTTAAAGAAGTTTGGCATCAGCTGCATCGACAACACCTTGTACCAGTTTAGCACCTCGACGAACCCCTCAACCAACGGGATCCTCAGCCCARCCTCCGAGTTGTGCTCATAAACGCACAACTCACCGAGCTAAGCATCAGTAACCATCTCCCCGAGTAACGGACACCTAATCTGGTATTCTGCAGAAATGGCATATGTAACTCGGATCCGAGCCATATCCCCGCAACCTGCCCGAAGAGGAAGCTCCGTCTCCATCCCAGAGGGACCAGCCTTGGCTTCCTCGATTTTGGCAATCACGGTCTTTCAACTTAAGCTCGTAGGTCAAACCACGAGAAGAGTTGGAACCAGAACTACTGGAGGACCCAGACGAGGGAGAGGATCGATGAGATGAGGAAGACATACTAGGAAATTTATGGAGCTGAAGAGCGAAAGTTATAGAGCTACTTGTCAAGCTACTTACCGAGCTATTTGTCGAGCTATCTACCGAGCTATGCGACCAACGAATCTGCCGAGTAATGGATGCCAAACTCTTGCAACTAACACTAAGGATGGAAAGGGGGGACCCCTTCTCCCTTTTATAGCCATTAGGGGCACAAACCGAGGAGAGATCAACAATACAGATGAAGCACCCCTCGGAAGCCTCGAAAACCAATAACGTGCAAAAGGAAGCCTCGAAAACCGAAGTGGCACCCTCAAAAGGCAATGGTTGTGCCTATTAATTGCGTAAGTTCAGCTACCGCACTGATCCAACCTTCGACGTAGAGACTCGCCATACTGGTCCAGCCTTCAACACAAATCCTCGGCTGGCTGCGCAATGGCCTAGTCGAGCATTCCCCCTCATTGGCAGCAGAACTGGGGGAATGGTTCAGGAACCAAAATTTTGGTTCTTATTTAAGTTCTACAGTTGATGATTAGAGGACTCCTTGACAACAACCAACACGGCACGAATGATACGCATGCTCGAAATTTCCTCAATCGGGCAATGAACCTAGGAGACTTCATTTCTCGACTTTTGAACTGAAGTAGTGGTGATCGGATCATAGCTAAGCTAGCCCTACAAGATATGCGGTCGCCCAACTATCGCCTTGCCACGTCATCCTAGCTCGATCGAGCTACGCTATTGTGGTGGCCCCCCATTTTTTCCTTTCAGCCACATCAACTACGCATCACGTGGATGAAGAAGAATAGGGAAAACGACTCCATCAGGGAATAGAACTATCCCGAATACCTCGGCGATAGACCTCATCCCGATAACCCCGGAGGCCCAATCCGATTAGGATACGGATCTTTGGCTATAAAAAGTACTCCATGCTTATTCCAAGACCCATATAGCCACTTAGCCCGGACCAGTGACATTAGCTAAGTCTACAAATTTATGAATGGGAAGGGGGTTATGGTGAAGCAACTAGTCTCCATTGTCAAATATCCATTTTATGAAAGAAACATAGTCAGATAAGCAGTGACACTGTTTGGTGGTTCTTTGCAGAGAAGAGAGATTTGCTGGTTTGTATCATTCAAGATCAGTTGTCGTCCGTCTGCCATAGGGGAAGTTTGAGTGAAGGATGAAGTAACAACCACAGTGAATAAAGCAGCCTTCTCAGATTTATTAGATTTAGACTGTGATCGCTGATTTCAACCAGGTGGATAACTTGTGAGTTTGAAACATTTCTTCTTGGTGTGACCATGGTGCTTACTATGATCACAGAATGGACATTGGATCGAGAAGAAACATTGAGAGAGAGATATGGCTTCAAGACTGAGTGGAACTCTTRGAGAAATAGAAATCCCAAACGCTCTTCTTGGACAATTAGTGCATAAATCAAGGCTGGGAAGAGGATTTGATCCAAGAATGTTAGAACGAATCATATTGAACGGGTTTCCTAGTCCCATGAAAAGCTGAAGAATCTTTTCTCTCTCCTTCAGTTGAGAAGTATTTCATAACCCCTCCACAGTGATTGAGGCGAGCTCATTCCAAAGAGCTTTTCAGTCGTGTAAAATAAGCTGCCACCGATCACATTTCAACTGATATATGCATGGAATATCACATTGTCTGAATCTTTCTGCAAATCCAAATCTCAGAGGTGGATTCAATGAAAGCAACTCTATGATGGAATTCCTTTTCTAACTAATTGGAGATCCACACAACAACTACCATTGGATTACATTTGATCCAATCTTCTAGTGAAGAACTCGGTGGTTTTGATACAAACAACCTTGCCCCAGCTAAGAGCTGATCAAGCAAATTCCAGAGGAAGAGTTCATGTCCTGTTTAAATCTGTAGCAGCACAAACTCCTACAGTGCTGGCACATTAATAGTTGGTTGAAGCAAATGATCTTAACTGAACTTTATTCCCAAAAACAGAGAGAATGAGAGTACAAGGCAAATGTACATCTACCACACTTTGCTTGGATATATCAGAGATGATGTAACGATATTAACAGCCACAGTTACACAGAAACTCTTATTATTATCAAAGCAAACAACAAACACTTCACACGCATGCATTCTTATTTTGATTCTAGCTTCATCTCATCTTTCGCTTTTAGATGGCTTTACCCAGAAATTTCGATGCTCTTAACCTCAGGTTTCTTCTCCTCCTGCTTGGGGATAGTGACAGTAAGCACACCATCCTCCATGGAGGCCTTCACCTGATCCATCTTAGCATTCTCAGGCAGTCTAAACCTCCTCAGGAACCTGCCGCTGCTCCTCTCCACCCTGTGCCACTTGTCGTTCTTCTCTTCCTGCTCTCTGCTCCTCTCCCCACTTATCTGTAGCACCCTTCCCTCCTCCACTTCCACCTTCAACTCCTCCTTCCTCACCCCAGGAAGGTCTGCTTTGAAGACGTGGGCTTCCGGAGTTTCCTTCCAATCAATTCGGGTGTTCGCCAAAGCAGAAGTGTCTCGCGTCGAACCGGGCGCAGAGGCCACACTAGTGGTGTTGAACGGGAACCCATCGAAGGGGTCCCAGATGTCCAGAGAGAAGGGATCGAAGATGTTGCTTCGCCGGCCACCGAAGATGCTCGGGATGATCGACATCTTAATTGGGTCTCTGGAGGGTACTCAATCAATCACAAATTGGGAACTTTGGCTGCTGAAAGACGCTTAGCAAACGACTGTTCTGTATCTATCTATCTGATGATGCAAAGAACCAAGGCGGGAGACTGGTTATTTATAGAGATGGGGAAATGGAAAAGAGGATTCTAGATTTCTAGGACTTCGTTCCACCGACATTCTTTTGAAAGGAAAGCACAGCTGCCGCGACGATGGAGGCAGTGGAAGACGGTAGAAGATTTGAGATTGTTTTAGATTTTTCCGGGAACAAATTCAACTGAACTGATTTCTCTCTCGGGAAATCGCTAGAATCCTCTCTTACTGTGCTGTGAGATCTTCCTCACGTTAGATTGGAATCTTCCTTTTAAATGTCCGGCTCTGTCGTTTATCCTATATGGACGTGTAGAAGGCGGATATGGGTCGTGTCACGTTGTGTAAGAGTTTGAGAAACAACCATCGAGCCCACTAGAGGTGCAAGACGGACTGGGTTAATTCGGGTTGACGTCAACCCTAACCCAACCCTAAAACTTATGGCTGAGTTTGGTCGGTTTTGAAGACCTAAGTACTTATTCTCTAGCTACGGGTGTAAATGAACCAGACTATGATTTGATCCAATCCAAATACGATTTTCTTTTTGTCAAATTCGATTAACCCCTATCCGATATATATAAGTATGTTTATATTATATTATATATAAATATATTTTTATTACTTTTTTGTAATTTTTTAAAAGACATGTATATATTAATAAATATGATAAGAATATTTGAGAAGTATTTGTATTTTCTGTTTTCTTTATATAAATTGTTATGTTTTTTTATTTTAACAATTTATTAAAATTTTCAGAAACTAACTCAGATCGGATAAGATTCAGATATCCGATAACCTTAACGGATTTGGATTCAAATTGACATGTTTGAGATCAGATCAAACCTGATCTAGGATAGGTGTTATTGGATCAGGTTTGAATATACTTTGGTTCAAATTCAATCTGACCATTTGCATCCTATTATTTCCTAGACTTTAAAGTTCATGTTATTCAATATTAGCATGATTATGCTTAGAAAACATAGTTATCATATTTTAGAAAAAAAAATGCCATTAAACTTAAATTTTTGACATGCAATACACATGCATATATGTATAAGTAGATAAATACAAATATAATAGATACATATATAAATATTTACGAGGACAAAAATACATAGTGAATATATATATAACATTTATTAGGGGTGAGCAAATGGGTAGTTTTAGCCGAAACTAACCTCAAATTAATCTTGAAATGACCCTATTCAATTTGTTACTTGGTAGGGTTGATTTAAAATTCTTGGAATTGCCTCCACCTAGGCCAATTCTAGGGTCTAGAGGTTTACCCTACACAAACCAACCTGAAGAATTGACTTTGGTGGAAGGGGACTCGGTTCATGACGTTGGTGCAATTGATTTTGGAACTGAATTTGCCTTGAAATAAATTTCAAAATACTTTGAGGATGTAAAGATTTGAATGCAAGCACTTATGCAGTTATAAAGACCATTGTATCACTTGACCATTAAGTCACTTAAGTGATGACATCATTTTTCTTCAATTCAATATTTAACAAATATGTATAATAAGTAATGTAAAAGGTAATATTTACAAAACTTAAAGGTAATATTTATTATTATTATTATTAAAATCAAGTTTTTAAAGAACATTTTTCCGTTTTTTTGGGAGGGGGACGGATGTAATGAACAAATAGGTTATGCAGTAGACCTCAGTATAAGGTAGATTCCAATTCCAAAAATGAAGTTAAAGGTAGATCTGAACTGAACCAACCCATGCTCACCGCTAATATTTGTACATGCAAATGAAGTTAAGTTGGATTTGTTCTGGGTTAGGTTGGTCATGACCTCAACCCTAACCCAACTTAAAGTTAATCATTCATAATTTTCAACCCTAACCCAAACTTCATCCTAATCCAACCCAACAAATCCTTACCTGGTCCAAGCTGCAGCCCTAAGTTCACACATCCCATTGAATCCTTATCCTAACCCAACAAATTATTTAGAGCACGTTCTTACATGATCATTACCTTAATGGTATCTATATATTGTAGTAAAATCTCAAAAATAAAAATAAGGGTAAATTACAAAGACCTCCCTATACTATGGGGTCTGTGACAAAGACCCACTTGTATTTTGTTTTGCGAAAAAGACCCCCTGTACTATGACCGTGAGACAAAGATCCCCTTCCATTAGCCTTCCGTCGAAATTTGGCATTACAATATTTTTTTATCCCCATACTACTACCTTTGGGAGAAAAACACTGTTCATCTTCTCAGACCTCACGATACACGAACAGCAGCGACACAAACTTCAGAAGTCTTTCCTCTCTTTCCCTCTCTCTCTTCTTCCCCTTCCCATTTTTCTCTGATGCAGAGGCTGAGTTCCGTTTCAGAACAAACCAAGGTGATTTTTGAGCTTGTTTCATCTCCAAGCACGACCCGGATAGCCATTCCTTCATTGCAGAAGTTGGCACCATTCGGGAGATGGGTAATCTTCTTAACATACATAGTAGAAGCTGGCGCCATCATGACCGAAGATAGTGGAGAGCCTTCACAGTAGAAGCTGGCACCATTCGGCAATTGCTTCAGCCAATTGCAAAAGTTGATTGAAGGTTAGAGTGAGGGAGAACGTTTTGGTAAAAGTTTCCAAATAAAAGAAAAAACCATTCGGCAGGAAAACACAATGGCTAATCTAACCTTCATAATAAACTTTGGCAATTGCTTCAGTCAAATAAGCCTTCTCCGCAGAAGGTTACCTTCCAACTATGAAATTCATGGTCTGTCAATCCACTGAAATTATTAGTGTGATGTTAATCATGAATCCCAACAAGTTTTGATCGTTTTCTCCGCAACAACTAACACCTTGAATTCATTTCCAACACGCCATTGGAGGTTTTGTTTCTTTTTCCTTTTAATTTATTTATTTGGGGTTTGATTTTCTTTGATTTGTAGTTTTTCCTTTTTTTTAGTATTTTGGATGGTGAGGGAGGGGAAAAGAAGAGAAAAAAGGGAAAATAATAGGTTAAATAGGTTTTAAGAGAAAAAGGGCAAAAAAAGAAAATAAAAAAAGTTTAGTGGAGTATTTTGATAATTTAACACATTCTGTCATCTAGCTTAACGGTAAGGGGGGTCTTTGTCTCACAATCATAGTATAGGGGGTCTTTGTTGCAAAACAAAGTACAGGGGGGTCTTTGTCACAAACCCCATAGTACAGGAGGAGTCATAATAATTTACCCTAAAAGTAAATCAAGTTTTGCTTTAGATTCTTTTTGTTAAAGGTAGGGCTGTTCATAAGAAGGCACAACCCAACCAAACCGACCAACCCGGACCAACCCAACCCGAGTTGGTTGGGTTTTCATCAGCACGGGTCGGTTTCGGGTTGTGCAAATTCCTAAACCGATGATTCGGGTCAGTTTCGATTTCACACAAGAAAACCGAAACCGACCCGAACTGAACCGACTTTGTTCCTATTTCAAACATGAAGTTCCAAAGCCCATTAGGCCACCTAGCTTTTGAATGGTTGCAAGAAACTTTGGATTAGTGAATAGTGATTAATGAACAACTTTTGTGATTAACTTTTCATTTAAATTTTATCATAGGAGATGGCTGAAATGATGTTCAATTTATGACTGTTTTTAAAATTAGCAAGATTTTATCATAGGGATGAACTTAGAACTGAAACCGACCCAACCCGACTCAAACCGATCAGGTCGGTTTTGCTTAACACTAGGTCGGTTTTGGTTTCTATGTCAGGTAACCCGACCAGGTCAGGTCGGTTGGAAAAACTACAGTAAACCAACCTAACCCGACCCGTGAACAGTCCTAGTTAAAGGCTCTCAACGTGCTTGCGAATAGATCAAATCGAACTGGATATTTCTAAATCCAAATTTGATTTGCTCCTATTCAAATTAAAATTGAATATTATCATTTGGAATTATATCAGATTTGAATTGCAATTCAATATTGAAAGACACAATAGATATGTTAAACTAAAAAATGATAAAAAATATTATATATTGTCGATAAAATGAATGAAAATTGACTTTGATATTATATTTTATGAACAAGATGAATTGAAAATTACTTATATGAAACTTGAACTTACAACAACTTAGTAAATGGCAAATTTCTTAAATTATCCCTACAGTTTAGTTAATTGATAAATTGTACCCTTATTGTCTTAGACCACCCCTACTGTTTCTAACAATTGACTAATTCTACCCATGTCGCTAGCATCTGTTAATATTCCGTCAAAATCCATAAACAAGTGACACCATGTGACATTTAAAATTTGTTCAAAACCTAATATTATCATCATTCTCTTCCTCTCAATGTAGCGGCATAACACCAGCACCCCCTTCCTCCAATCTCTCTCTCCCTCTCTCATTATATAATGGCCACAAAGGTTCAGCATCATCATCATCAACAATAGCCAAAGGCAGTTGGACCATTTTCGTCCAACTACTATACTTCTTCTATATCCCCAAAGAGAACCCCTTGTCCTAAAGGTCTCTCTTTCTTTCCTTCGCTCGAATCCTAGACTAGGATCGTTAAGACAAGGGGCTTAGCGTTCATCTCAGTCATCAAGACAATGGGTTTTGCTCCAATGGATCGAAGATCTAGTTTTAGCATGGGCTAAACAAAAATCTTTCCTTGTTTCAGAAAGAGTAGCAGGGAGTGGGTCTGTCTTGGACTTTGCTCGGATGACACACAGGAGCTTGGTGGAGATGGGGCTGATGACCAATCAGGTGACTCAACTTGCGGATTGGCTCTTGGTAGTGATAGGTTCAGCTTCAAGTCTAGCTTTGGGCTCTTCCCGTTGTGGCTCATGTCTGCCTCTGCGACCGAATGGCTTTGGGTGTCCTTGATGTAGCAGATGGCACCACCGCACCAGTCTACGCATACAAAACCAAATTACAAAAATAATCTAAAACAAAGTCAACCCATATCTTTCAATCATAATGAAACAATATCATCTAATCAAGCACAAACTTATTCATCAAGGATGAAGAGATAAGAGCAAACGTGGTTGTGAGCGTCGGAAAGTGGCTCACCTAGGCT